AAAGGCCGAATCATGTAATTTGAGTTGTATAAAATAACTTAATTACAAAAAATGTTGTGGTCATTATTTTATATATAACGAGAGACTAAAGTTATCATTCTTTTACTGTTTGCTATGATTATTTCATTCCTTTCAACAGGCTAATTCCAGTTAGGATTATGAAAAGGTTATGTTTAGTGGAAACTAATTTAACTTTTATCATGTTTTTTCTAATAAATTGATAATATATACATAAGTTTTAAAAATATATAATTACATTAATTTTATATTAATTTATAATAAATCAATTTATTGTATTAATTTTATATCAGTATCTTCCCTAATTACCCTAAAATTTTTAGGTCATTTAGGTGTGAGAATTGATCTGTGGAAATTGCACAAGTGGACTGGATAGAAAGTAGAATTCCAGAATGTCCAGTTTTGAAAGAAGGCTCTTCTTGAGCATTTCTAAACTTTTCCCTTGTTTGTTTTTGTGCTGAATTCACTTTGTTGTTTTAGTTGGTTTTGTTCTTGAGTGATTTTTGAGTTTGTTTACAATTTTAAAAAAATAAAATATTACTTTTCATTTGTGCTTTGCTTGTGAGTTTTTTGCTTGCTTGCATTGCAAGTCTTTGTGTGTTTTACATTCTTTGAGCCTTTGATTTTTAGAACCAGATTTAGGTGTCTTTGTTTTTGCATTTAGTGTGTTTTTCTTGCTGATTTTTGTTCATGTTTCTCATTCATCTTTGCATACATTGCATAACCCGTGGGAAACCTAGTGAGCAAGTACCCATTGACCAAGAGATTGAGAGAACCTTAAGGTGGATAAGAAGAGAAAGAAATCCTATTGATAATCATGTCTTAGAATCTTCTATGGCTACTCCTAATCACAACATTAATCTAGCTCATCTAGGGATGCTTGGGGACTTCACCAACGACCCTAATCTTAACCCTAACGTCAATCTTATGCTTCAAAGTGTTCAAAACAATTTTGAGGTTGTCAACCAAGGGAATGGGGTAAATTTTAAGGGTCCAACACTAATTCCACCTCTGAACAATGCTGAAATCCATCCACCAAACCGAAGCAATAATGGGGACTTCATGCAAAATCATAACCATGCATCTGGGGAAGAAGTTGGCATGCATCATCGTCAAAATGATGAAATTTTCATTAGGCAACTTACTTCTCCTAATTAGAATACTAATCCCTATGGTTTGTACATTCCTCAACATGACCATATGTTTGAGCTTAAGCATTCTCTTATTTAAACATTGCCTAAGTTTCATGGTTTTCTCGGTGAGGATTGTCACAGATTCTTGCATTCATTATATCTTGTGTGCAATGCCATGAAACCGATTGGTGCTTATATAGATGATGTTCAAGCTAGAGCATTTGTGTTTTGTCTTGAGTCTCATGCTAAGGAATGGTACATGAACTTTTCACCTCATGTTAAGATACATACTTGGGAAGAGTTGAGAGATATGTTTTTGAATAAATTCTTTCCATCATCTAAGCTAGCAAGTTTGAGAAAACAAATTATAAGTATGGTGCAAAATTTTGATGAAAGTCTTTATGAGTTTTGGAATAGATTTTACTCTATGCCAGCTAGATGTTGACATCATCAAATCGCAAGTGAGCACCTTATTCAATATTTCTATGATGGTCTCATGCCTAAGGATAAGATGAGTCTAGATGCCACTTTTAATGGCTTCCTTAGTGATATGTCTCCTAATAAAGCTTAGGAATTGATTGATAAAATAGCACAAAGTAGAGCTCAATATGGGGTGAGAGAATCTAAAATAGCTTCGGTTGCTAATGGTTTGTCTAGCTCACAATTAGATGACCTTGGATAAAGAATTAGGAAGCTCATTTTACCCCAAATAAATGCAAATGTACATGCTAATTTGAGGAGTGTGTCTGATATCAATCAAATTCACATTAATTTTATATCAATTTAATTAAAAAATATTAATTCATGTTATTAACAATTTTAAGACAAACTTCTCCACGTCATATTTTTAAAGCGCAAATATTTTATCTTTCTATAACAGTTTTTTTTTTTCTTTTGCCAAAATAACAGTCATTCTTTTAACTTAGTGAAATTAATTTCCACCATGATTTCTCCAATTCTATTACACTCCCAGCTAATCATCTAGCTTTAGCTTAGATTAATAATTTATATGTCAGGGAAAAAAAAGGAATATTGAAGGTTTCTCAATATCGTATTAAAAAATGGATTAGAGTAAATCAATTAAGAAATCAATAATATTAATAATTCTATTCCGAAATTAACAAAACTTGCTACCTAATATTCTTGATTATCCTATGTTATCCCCCTCTCCCCCCCCCCCCCCGGTCTGAGCATCATAAGTATTATTTCTTTAATCAAACAGAAAGAAGCGACAGAGAACACGACGCGACCTGAAATCTTTTTGCTGTATGAGTTTTCGAGGAACGTGGAAACAAGTTAAGAAGTTGGATCGTCTTTTCTATGCACCCAATAATAGAATCAAAGTTTCTTAATTTTATTTGGAAAAATATGAGAAAAACGTACCCAAAAAAAAAAACCACTAATTAATAGTTCGGAGAGAGAGAATCCGTTTCCCGTGAGGAAAAATTTGGAGTTATTTCACGAAGGAACCCGAAGCTAACATGCTTTTGACACTTAACACTACCTGTCCAGTTTGTCCCAAAAAAAAAAAAAAAAAAAAAACCTGTACCTGTCCAGATTCCCTAGTCCAAGAAATTCTAGTCTTATTCCGCCCCTTCTCTCTTCTCAGAATGATTGAGAGAGCATTTCTTTGACATGATCACATCACAAGCTTTTACTCAGAAACTTATTGGGCCCCAGATAAAGGAGGATAGTCTCTAATGGCTGAAACTGAAACCCTTGTTGCAGAAGCTTGCCTTCTAGTCACAGCCACAGCCTTCTTCTTCCCCTACAAATCATTTCTTTTATCACCAGAGCAAGTCTCATCATCATATTACTCTTCTCTTCAGCAACTAAACCCTTATCATAATCATTTTCTTCTTCTTCTTGAGATGTTTGACGAATTATTGTCGCATTGAATCGGCCACACCCAGGTTAGTAATCACGAGTTGCGGAGCTCTTGCGTGGCTTGTAATACGAATCTCATGAGCTTCCTTTAATGGGTTCTTCCTCCTAACCATTATTTCTTCTTCTTCTTCTTTAGAGAGACGACCCTCAAGAACTGATGATGATGATGTAGCCATAGGACATAACTCTCTCAGTCCGTAAAGTTTGTGTCATTACAAACAAAAAAGTGAAAAAGAAAAAGAAACATCGTCAAAACGAAAGAAAATGAGGGAATGAACAAGAAAAGATGAAGATGAGAGCATACATACATACATATAAATATATATACACCAAAATTGGAGATTGAAAGGAAAATTTGCAGAGTAATACTAACGACACGGTCCGTGAGAGTGAAAACCGAGAGAAATAGTAGATGAAAAACAGACGCATGAGATGATTGCCGCTCATGATTTTTGTTTTATTTATTCAACTTCTTTTAACGTCTATTTCTAAGTTATTATGAACAATACTTTTTTATAATTATTAATATTAATATTTTTTCTTGATTTGGAAGACTTTCCTTTTATTTTAAAAAGTTATAAACGTATTTATTTGAATCCCAAGTAACATTGTTTTCCTAATAATCTTTCTTTCTTGTTAATCTTTTGCACAATTTTGAATGGACCATTAGCTCTTAGGGACAGCTTGGCATTCAATTATTTAGGAAATCATTTCTTTTGTAGATGTATGCAAGCCAAGTCTCCTACCTTAAAAGTTTGCTATTTTCGATGCTTGTCACGGTGAGCTTTGTACCTCAAATTCTGCTTTTGGATTTGCTCACGAACTTGATCATGCAACTTTTTAATTTCCTTAACCCTTTGGTCAGCATCAAAGCTATATTGCTATTTATCAAGTGAAGGGATCAAGTCTAGTAGACTAAGGGAATGAGTGCTATAAACAGCTTTAAACTGGCACTTCCCAGTTGCTTGGTTGATAGAGTTATTGTAAGCAAATTCAACTTGAGCAAGAATGAGATCTCATCACTTCAAATTCTTCCCCACAAAATTGCGAAGAAGATTACCAAGAATCCTGTTTATAACTTTAGTTTGAGAGTCTATCTGGGGATGACTAGCACTACTAAATTGGAGCTTAGTTTCCATCTTCTTCTATAGCATCTGCCAAAAGTGGCTGAGAAATTTCACATCACAATTAGATAGTCTTGGAAATGCCATGAAGATGAACAATCTCTTTAAAGTACAAATCTGCTACTTGAATAGCATCATTAGTCTTTTGGCATGGAATGAAATGGGCCATTTTTGAGAAATGATCCATAATTACCATGACATAATCTTTTTACCTCTGAGACTATGGTAAACCCAGAATAAAATCCATGCTTACTTCTTCCCAAGATACTTCTAGAATTGGCAAAGGCATGTATAAACCTGTAATCTGACCCTTGGACTTGGCCAAGTGGAAAATTTTACATCTCTGTATATGCCTGTTTACATCACATTCAAGTTGAGACTAGTAAAAGTTCTCCTTCATTAGGTCAACTATTTTATCCCATTAAAATGTCTGTGGCTAATCCACTGTCATGTGCTTCCAAAATTATGGCCTCTCTCAAGGAACCCTATGGAATGTATAGGGTTTTATCTCGAAATAGAAACCCATCATGTCTGTAGAACTCGTGGAAAGATTAATTTATAGTTGCTTCACATACTCCTTAAAAGTCAAGGTCATCCTAATACAGCTCTTCGACAAGTTTAAACTCTATAACTTTGGCTTGCAATTCACATGTCGATGGCTAAGGGCATTAGCTATGGAGTTCAAAATTCTAGCCTTATGCTTGATAAGGAAAGGATAAAACTATAAGAGTTCACTCTAATGGGCATGTCTACGGCTAATCTTCTACTAAGAATTCAAATACTCGAGGGCCTCATGATCAGAACAAAGTATGAACTCTTTGCTCAGAAGATAGTGACTCTAATATTGGAGAGCTCGAACAACGGCATAGAATTCTTTGTCATAGGTAGAATACCTAAGCTTAGCATCATTGAGCTTCTCATTGAAAAAGGCGATGGAGTGGCCCTCTTGGCTTAAGACAACACCAATACTAGTGTTAGAAGCATCACAGCTAACTTTAAACACTTGGTGAAAATTGGGATGAGTTAGGACTAGAGCTTTGATCAACTTCTTTTTAAGCTCCTCAAAGCTTTGCTGAGCTTGCTCTGTCTACTAAAATTTCTCTCTTTTGGTGCAATTTGTAAGTGGTGCAACAACAGAGCTAAAATTACAGATGAACCTCCTGTAAAAAGAAGCTAATCCATGAAAGTTTCAAACCTCCTAAATAGATTTTAGAATTGGCCAGCTTTCAATGGCTGTAACTTTGCTTGGATCAACTTGAACACCTTCTGTGGTAATGATGTATCCTAAAAACACAACTTTACTAGTGAGGAAGGTATAATTCTTAAGATTAGCATAAAGCTTTTGTTCTTACAAGGCTTGCAAGACTTGCTATAAGTGATCTAAGTATCCTTCTTGACTCCTGCTATAAATAAGAATATCGTCAAAGTACACAATAATAAATTTGTTAATGAAGGGTCTCAATATTTGATTCATCAGGCGCATAAATATGCTAGGGGCATTTGTTAACCTAAAAGGCATCATATTACATTCATACAAGCCATCTCTAGTTTTGAAAGCTGTCTTCAACTCATCTCCTAGTCGAATTATGATTTGGTGGTACCCATTGTGAAGGTCAATTTTTGAAAAAGTAGTAGCCGTACAACTAGTCTAGCATATCATTGAGTCGAGGTATCAAAAACCAATACTTAATTGTGATCTTGTTGACAACTTAGCAGTCAATGTGCATTCTCTAACTCCTATCCTTCTTAGGTACCAGAAGAACAGGTATAGCACAAGTGTTGGCACTTTCTCGAACCAACCCTTTTTTCAATAACTCTTTAACTTATCGTTCGATTTCGGCATGTTCTTGGGGACTTATTCTTATAGGTAGGCTTGTTAGAAATGGCTACTTTTAGAATGAAGTCTATGGCACGCTATATGTCTCACATGGGAGGCAACCCTGGTGGTATCTTATCAGATATCACATCTGGAAATTCAGACAGTAATGGAATGACTCCTGGTAGACTAGCAGACTTATCATTCACCTCAAGCACCAGAATAAAGCCCATTAATTGGGCTTCAGACTTTATCACCTTGAATTCCTCCTTAGTCATCAAAGACACTAATGGCTTAAAGGCGCTATGTTGATTTATTGCTATGGTCTCCCTAAAAGAAGGTGGCATATATCCATAAGAACAACATCACACAAAACTTTGTCACAATATAGGTTCCAAATAGAAAAGGACACAAGGAATTGTTTAAAAACTTTTACCTCATTCCCCTTGTTGAGCTAGTAAAGCTTGTAAGGATGCGGATGATCTTGTCTTAGTAACTTTAATTTTTCCACCATGTATTTTGATACTGCATTTTCACAGCTTCCACTGTCAATGATGACATTACAAACTTTTTCTTAGGCCATGCAATAAGTGTGAAAAATATTGTGTTGTAGCTAAGGTTGTTCTTTAATTACAGTTGTATACATACTTCATCTAAGCACTAATGCCTCTCCTTGATTAGTAGGTGTGACCTCCTCATCATAAATGTGATCGATGCCATAAAACTTAGTCCCCTCCTCATCTTCTGTAGGTGCTTCATATTCTTGTTCTTTCATAATAATGACAACCCTCCGAGTAAGACAATCCATAGCAATGTGGCTAAATCTTTGGCATTAAGCATTTAATTTCTTTAGAGCCATATTCCTTAATAGCATTTGGTGATGGTTTGTGCATAACACTAGATTGTAGCTTGCTTAAGGAGTTGGTCTATTAAAATCTTGCCTTACAGGCTTCTGGATAATCCTTGGAGGAAGAATGCTGGAAAGAGGATCTCTTGGACATATGCTTCTCAACACATATGGCTAGATGAATTACATCATCTAAGGTCCAGTATTGCTACAGCTAGACTAGATGACTGATATTTGTGTTTAAGCTTGCAAGGTATTAGGCTATTACTTGCTCCTCCTTCTCCTAAATGTCACACTTCATTATGAGTTGTTCAAATTCTATAGTATATTCTTCTACAGATAAAGACCTTTATCAAACATTTTACAACTGGAGAAAGTTATCCTGGTGGTAATGATTTGGTAAAAATTTACTAGTGATCTAGCGTCTCATTTTCTCCCAAGTCTCAATCTTGCACTTTCCCTCATGTTCTCGCTTTTGTATGAGGTTTTCCCACTAAATGGAATCATGTTTCCTATTTTTGAAGGTGACAATCTTGACTTTTTATGCATTTGGAATCTCCTTATACTCAAATACTCATTTAACAGTTTAAAGCCAGTCTATGAACTCATCTGGCTGGAGTCTTCCCTCAAATTTAGGAATGTCTACCTTAATGTCATTAGAATGGAAATGTTATTGTTATGGACGGCAGTCGCGATGATTGTTAGTGGATGACAAATTGTTGCTTCCTAAATCTCCTTCTAGGTTTTCCTTATTATTGTTTAACAAAGTTCACTGTATTTTCACAGTAGCTTCTAACTCTCGTATCCTATGTCTCACCTCTTCCATCTCAACCTCATGCATATTCCTGTGTCTTGAAGGCTAATAGAATACATTTTTTGCCCACTTTTATTTTTCAACCTCCAGTAGGTGTGTACGGCGCATGGATTGATGACGACAATGTGTGGACTTCAGGTGGCAATGTGTGCAAGTATGTGAGACAGTTTTCAGTGACGAGGAACATCCTGTTCCACATATTTAGACCTCTTGTGCACGATGGTGATGTCAATTTCTAGAAAAAAACAACTAGAATGTAGGATTTGAGCAAGTCAGGGACTTCTCCTATGAGTTTCTCTCCTCTTCGACATAGTTCCTCAACTCTACCTCACTCTTTTGCTCTCTGGACCAACTTTGATAGAAAAATGGCTTAGAAACCAAACGAAAAGAGAAATTATGATTTTATTTCATGACTAAATGACTTATATAGCAAAGCTAATGGTCCTATTTATAGTGCTAGGACTCTGAACGAAACAGACAAGCAAAGAAGAAGTTACAAATGTAAATGCTAGATGTTTTTCGGCTTAATGAAGGTGTAAATGGAAAATGCTTCTGCTTTCATTTTTGTAACTCATGCGTCCATTTCAATAAGTTGTCCATGAAAAATTAAAAAAAATTAATGACATGTAAATATTAATTTAAATAATTATAAATTATAAATTTTAATTATAAATAAAATATTTAAATTCTAAATACTCATAATTATTTTTTAAGACTTTATTTTTATTCTCCCTTTAGAATTTCTTGACTCAAGATACTTTTCATTAACAATATTTATCATTAAACTATTCACAACTTCAAAAACTAAAGTAGTTTTAAGTTGAGTTTGAGATAGGAATTTATTTTTATTTAATTTTTCATTATTAAAAATATTTGCCAACATTTTTAGGAATTAATAGGTTTTTAAAAATAAAAAAGAAGGCCTCTAATCTTCTTAGATGAGCCTAATTTTTATCCTCCGTATAATAAGAGATTATCTTTTACTATTGACAATAAAACTTGAAATAAATATTAGCATACTTTATTTGTATTCCGAAAAATTTGATTAATGATAAAGCACAATGACATTATGCAATTCACATAATCAATCTCACTTGATAAGATAAAACTTCTTGTTGTTAAATATTTCACCAATGGAATTTAGGGGGAAAAAAGCTAATTCCTCTTATCGTAATGAATTACTGTTCAAATCTTCATTAGAAGAGGTACACACATTTGAGAATGGGAGGCAAGTACCTTGCATGCCACCTCCCTTTTATCTATCCTTACTCACATTTAATGATCGATCATGTCTCAAACAAAATTACCTCTAATAAAAGAGACCTTTGAGTAATAAAAAAAATGAATAACAACGTTTCTAACCAATTGAACACGCATTTCAAATCAACCAAATAGGGCATCATATTTCATACTTATAGGCCTGTATTTTGAAATCCATTGTCCAAGGTAACATGAGTAATTCTATTTCAAAAGTTGAAAATTTATCATTCGAAATCTAAACTAAAAGCCAAACACACTCTACAACATCCAATTTCACTATTCAAGTTTTTTACTATCCATCTAAACAAGTTAAGCAGGCTTAAGGATATAACACCAAGATTCATTCTCCTCCACATCTTTCCTCTTCTCTTTGAAGGCTGATATGAATAACAGTTTATTATTTTAAAAGTTAAAAAAAATTAGAATATTAAGTCTAACCTAACAAATTTAAATTTAAAAGGTATAGATAGATTCGTAGAAGAGAGAAAAAGTCATAAGGACACCACCATGCAAGCCAAACTAGTAAAGTGGGCAAACTTGTAACAAACTTTATTTTTTTTTTGGCCTTCTCTCTTCGGTTCATCACAATTGATAATAATATATATATATATGGAGAAAACTTATATACTTAATGTGCTTGTTTTCAATTAAATTAAAACATGTGGATCTTGTATAGATTATTTATTCTATAATAAATTCTTACTATTAATTTTATTAATATATTAAGATTCACTTATCATGATTTGATTGGATATAGGTATACTATGTGTATAAGGCCAAGTATATAAGTCTTACCCTATATATATATATATGTACACTACAATATACAAATTATTAAATACTGTAAGGTTTCCAACCACACAAAGAAAATGCTATGGAAGACATCCATCATCACACTGCAGTTGCAGCTGTTATTTGCTTTATTTGAAACCCGAGTCATGATTATTTGCAGACATGAAATAAAGAATAAGAAGGTCAAACTCTATAAGTATTAAATGCTATATTTATCTCATAGAGCTGTTCAAGTATCTAATTGTATGTAAATTGTATGTATAACAATGTAAAATGCCAAGCCAAAAACATGATGGCATAAGGAAATTTAAAATGTTCAATAAATGCATCCTTACAAAGCAGTTTCACCATAAACCTACAAAATGCATGCTTCTAAGTTGGCTATGGAAATTTAAAATGTCCAACAAATTGATTCCAAGGCATAAGATACAGTAAAAATTTATGAGCTCGATACCAAAATGTCTCCCACATCAATAAACAAAGCTAGTCTATCACTGAGTACTCTAATTTACTAAAACATAGCTTATTGAAAAAGACAGACTTAGTTTCTTGTAGGATCAAACATCAAGTTTGATGTAGTTAAAATTCAAATAATCATTAAGGAGGATCCTTAAATTAGATAATTGCTACCATATTGACTGAGGAAGGAAGGAGTGTGATGATTGAAGCCCAAACAATAGAGTTTAGCTTTAGAGCATAAGAATATATGCAACACCTTGATTAGATCAAGGGGAAAATTGATATATATAGACTCTTTGTGGTGTACTTGCTAGATAAAAACCTCAATAAACTAGGGAGAAATGTTGGAAGTGCCATAGTGACCCATAGCATATCAAGAAAAAAGGCTTAAGTACTCAACAAAATGCATGACAACTATAAATTCTAGCAATTGAAAAAACCTACACCTATATGGATTTCAAGTTTCAGCCAAGAGGAGATTGAGAAGCTAAAGAGCCTACTAGGGACATTAGACAACAACCAACCCCAATCACATATATTAGTTCATTGGTACTTTGGTATTATCTTTCTCAATCTTCATATGCCTTCAATTAGCCATTCAATGCATTAGTTTCCCTAACTCTAGGTCATTTACTCAAGAGCCACATATCATATGACTAATTCTTCACTAAAATTCATCTCTCATCCTCCTTATGATTCCAATGTTTCAAAAATAAGAAGTCTACAAGGCTGTGCACAGTAATAGATCAAGCTGTTAGAGAAAAGACAATTGAAAATGCCGCCTTTACTTTGTCAAGTTCATAAATCAAACTACGTCAAGGGACTGAGCCTTATAAATGTAATACTTCTAATGAGATTGAAGTTGGGTAAGTTTCTTTCTTTGTATTCTGATAATTACTACATTTCATCAAAATTTCATGGGGAAAAACCCTACTATCCAAGTGAAGGTTTAAAAATAAAATCTACCTCGACTGGAAAAACTCAAACCACATAATTAAAAAGATGTTTTTTTTTAAAAACCAAGGACGACATAAAATATTAACAATCCTGTATGTGACCAAAACCCTCTTTGGGGATCTATAAAATAGAAACTTCTCTAGGATAGTCATAAATAACACAAATGTTGAAAGAGATAATTACCTCAATTCCATGAGGACCTATTTGTTTGCGAGAAA